CTTTTTGGGGTTTAGTCCAAAGGTTATAAAAAGTATGATGCAACGTGGGGGAAAGGAGATGCAAACTTTCTAGACCTGTGGAAAGCTAGATCCCTTTACTGACATTGTCAAACAACCCTCTCATATGTAAAACATCAACAAATCATTGAAAAAGGAAAAACTTTACAGCTTTTGTGTGATTTTCTCTTATGATAAACGACAACAGATTTTAGATCTAACTGAAACCAAAAACATATTTCACAAAATAAACAATAATAGTAATAAGGAATTAATAAATATGGTAAACAATTAAAAATAACTTAAACTGCCATACAGAACTGATTTAAGGCATCACTTTTATATAGAGATATTAAGCAACAATTTTTGTGCTGGGCACCAATGTGTCTCACAAAGAGATTCTTATCTAACATTTCTGCACTGGAATTTATGCAGACATACCAGGTGGTCCAGTTAGATAGGCTGGATCCCCTGACTCTGTGGCTTCCTTTTCTCCTTAATCAGTTTCCTCTGTACTGTCTTCTTTCTTTCTCTCTGAATCTGAAATCTTCTCATCTTTACCGCTGATGCTAACACAGTTTTCCTCATCCTCTCTCATTTCTTCAGCTGCCACACTTTTAGTGGCCCGTTTCATCTCTGACCCTCCTGGTCTTTTGATTGTTCATCTTCCTTAAATCTCACAGTCTCTACTTACTTATCATCTCTCAGTTGTTTGCAGAGGAAACCAGAGATGTCTCCACTCCAAAATGTAATTTTCCTTGTGATCTGCAATATGCAAAATTCCATTCTGTATGTATATATATACACTATATTGCCAAAAGTATTTGCTCACCTGCCTTGACTCACATATGAGCTTAAGTGACATCCCGTTCCTAATCCATAGGGTTCAATATGACGTCGGTCCACCCTTTGCAGCTAGAACAGCTTCAACTCTTCTGGGAAGGCTGTCCACAAGGTTTAGGAGTGTGTTTATGGGAATTTTTGACCATTCTTCCAGAAGCGCATTTGTGAGGTCGCACACTGATGTTGGACGAGAAGGCCTGGCTCTCAGTCTCCGCTCTAATTCATCCCAAAGGTGTTCTATCGGGTTGAGGTCAGGACTCTGTGCAGGCCAGTCAAGTTCATCCACACCAGACTCTGTCATCCATGTCTTTATGGACCTTGCTTTGTGCACTGGTGCACAGTCATGTTGGAAGAGGAAGGGGCCAGCTCCAAACTGTTCCCACAAAGTTGGGAGCATGGAATTGTCCAAAATGTCTTGGTATGCTGAAGCATTCAGAGTTCCTTTCACTGGAACTAAGGGGCCAAGCCCAGCTCCTGAAAAACAACCCCACACCATAATCCCCCCTCCACCAAACTTTACACTTGGCACAATGCAGTCAGACAAGTACCGTTCTCCTGGCAACCGCCAAACCCAGACCCGTCCATCAGATTGCCAGATGGAGAAGCGCGATTCGTCACTCCAGAGAACGCGTCTCTACTGCTCTAGAGTCCAGTGGCGGCGTGCTTTACACCACCGCATCCGACGCTTTGCATTGCACTTGGTGATGTATGGCTTGGATGCAGCTGCTCGACCATGGAAACCCATTCCATGAAGCTCTCTGCGCACTGTTCTTGAGCTAATCTGAAGGCCACATGAAGTTTGGAGGTCTGTAGTGATTGACTCTGCAGAAAGTTGGCGACCTCTTCGCACTATGCGCGTCAACATCCGCTGACCCCGCTCCGTCAGTTTACGTGGCCTACCACTTCGTGGCTGAGTTGCTGTCGTTCCCAAACACTTCCATTTTCTTATAATACAGCTGACAGTTGACTGTGGAATATTTAGGAGCGAGGAAATTTCACGACTGGATTTGTTGCACAGGTGGCATCCTATCACAGTTCCACGCTGGAATTCACTGAGCTCCTGAGAGCGACCCATTCTTTCACAAATGTTTGTAAAAACAGTCTGCATGCCTAGGTGCTTGAATTTATACACCTGTGGCCATGGAAGTGATTGGAACACCTGATTCCAATAATTTGGATGGGTGAGCAAATACTTTTGGCAATATAGTGTATATATATATATATATATATACATACAGAATATGAATCCTATTAACAGAGACATGGTGATGAACATCATGAGCATTTTATGATTGCTTTTGTTTACAGTATCATATCTATTGAATGGTAAATAAAGAAAAAAGTAGCAAGTGGAAAATGTGTGTAAAAGTCCTTCAGTTTATTCTGATATCTTCATAAAGCATAGAGAAATAAGGCTGAAATGCTTGCAGTTACTGTGGTGGTTCAGGGAAAATGCAAAGCAGAACAACTTTTATGCAAATCGATTATGCTCCTGGGTAGATAGAGTACAGTGTGATGTACTGTGGGTGATTAAACCAAGCACTACACTGAGCAAGTGGGGATAATGACTTTTTTCTAATTCACTGCTGATTATGCCATGTATCTGAGTAAAAACAAACAGAGAGATGTTAGATGTGGCATTTCTGTTTGGTTTGGGATGTGAATCTACAGATCTTCACTTGTTTTGTTCGTACAAGCTGGAAAAGTCAATCAGTGTTGCCTGGGAGAACTGTAACCAGGTAAGGCACCTGTCAATATTCAAACCGGTGAATAGTCCTGTTTTCCTGTCATTTTAACGCCTGTGTTTAAACCCCTCTCTGTTTGAACAGCTTTGCGAAAACTAATTCAGTAAGGAGCTTAAAAAAGAAGGAACCAGGTATGGAAAGAGGTCTGTGAGGGAGAGGGAAGAGATTACCTCTGTTTCTTCCATGCTACTATTTGCTGAGTCTAATCCACAGCTGCAGACTCTGAGCTCCCACATCGGCGTCACTCAACACCGCTTTCTCTGAAATGTTTAGACTCGGCTCTGCTGGCAGCCAAGCAGAGGGAGGCTGTCATGCTTTTATGATGCATAAGTGGCATCATTGTTTTTGTTTGCATCCATGGCTGTGATAAGGATTTATTTAATCTGAGGTCAGGGGCGGTGACTTGCTCAAATTTGGGATTTGATAAGATATAGTGATGCCAAATGTGTATATTTTGTAAAGACCTTGGATAGATAAATGAATGGTCTGAAGCAAGCAATGAAAAAAATACCTCTTCACACATACACACCATATCCTTTGTAAGTGCTCTGACTCCAGAGAAATCAATACCACTAGATTTCACAGTAGAGCACCAGTCTGCTATAAAATCCACAAATCCCTGCTCTGCAGTACAGAGGATACATTTTGCTGGTGTTAGAAAAATTTGTGCAAACATCTGTTTAGTATAGAAAGACATATTCTGAACACAGCCTCCTGAATCATTTTACATGATTTAATCCCAGGCTTTTAATGTGGTCAGGAGTAATCAGATTCACATTTGCAGTCAGGGTCTTAAGGAGTGATTGGGAAGATGCTCATCTTTACATCTGTGCTCTTTTTATTATGCCTGGTTAATTACAAAAAATAAATAATTATGATTGTATGTAATTTTGTCATAAACTTTGCACTTGTTTGTACTTTGCAAACTTGATTTTCTTTCCCAGTTTGTCATTAAACCTAAAATAGAGGACAAAAGAAACGCTGTTGATAATTTCCTTACCATGGAAAAAAAAGAACTAAAATAATTAGTTGCCAAAAAAAAATCTAGTAGAAGTTAAGATATAGCTTTTTTTGTAATATAAGGTTAATGTACCAAATTCTGCTGCAACAAATCTGATTTTTAAAAATTGGTTTAAAATAAAATTTAGCCAAAGAAAACTGGGGTCCTATTTCAGTACAACTAAAGCTATCACCTCTTTTTTTTTTTTTTTTTTTACATTTTTAAGTCAGAAATAAAACAGAACAGTAAAGAAGGAGACAATGAAATGTTTCATTTCAGAACTTCAATATAAGGTAAGAAGCGAGGCTGAAAAGTTTGTCTAGTATGTATTACCTGTTTAGCTTTTCATTAAATTAAGTGTGTTAAAAGGCTATAGCCCCATTAACGCTATCCTCTGAAAACTGATCCATGCAGAGTCAGGACCGAGCTAGGATCAGTTAACTGTGCTGAGCTTGGTTACAACTGTTTAAACATCACGTTAGCGCAGTTCCTCGCCTTCTAGTGACGATATGCAGTACTACTTCTCTCTAGAGGTAAACAAGCAAATCAACATGGCAGCGCCAGTAACATTCAGCAAGTTTGATTCGAAATTTTGATACTTGGTTGTTTGTGGAGAGTCAGGTGAAGAAGGCAGCCTTTGGTAAATTTACTTGACAGTTGGCTTTTGGGAAGCAATAGTCTAATCAGGGCTTACAGACACAGGAAACAATGACAGACGTTGAGGCTCATCACACTGCTGAGAAGAATCATCAGTAGAAATCGTATGACATGGTATGGAAGCTAGTATTTTTATGAATGTCTGAAATTTCACAATAACGGAGACTGACTGTAAGGAGATGACGAGGTCTGCTCATGCGCTCTTTGTTATCTGAGAACCGAGCCAGAACGAAAAACGCGCCGAGCCCTACTGATGAACTAGTACCAGTTTAGCGACGTTCAGTTTTGTCTGGTACGGTCCGGTTCAGTTTTCTGTGTCATTTACACTCAACAGTTATCTCGGTTGCCGTGCTCGGGCCGATCTCTGCACAATTTCAAAAGGGTAGTGGAAATGGGGCTTATGATTAGCACACCTTCTGTAAGTAAAACCATTAATGTCATGATCTAAACTGTACAGTGCCTGGAGATGACAGGTGTTGTGAATTGGCGCTATATATATAAACTGAACTGATCTTGGCACTTGGCCTGCTCAGTGGCACAGTGGTTAGCATTGCTTCCTTGCAACAAGAAGGTTCCAGTGTGCATGGATTTAGCATGTTCTTCCTGTGCGTGCATGGGTTCTCTCCAGGTGCTCTGGCTTCATCACAATAAAAAAAAAAAAAGAGAGACATAACTGTTAGGTTAATTGGCTTATCTAAATTCTCCGGTGTGAGAGTGATTGTCCTGTTTGTCTCTTTGTTGCCCTGCGACAGACTGACGACCTGTCCAGGGTGTTGAACCGTGCCCACGCCCAATTACAGCTGGAGATAGGCACCAGCACCCCTCGTGACCCCAGCAGGGATAAGCATGATGGAAAATGGATGGATCATGGCGCCTATGACGGGCTTGATTGTTCATTCCACTCACCTGCCTAGGTTAGCCCAGTTTTTCATCACTGTTAATTTGTGTCACCTGCTCCAGTTTCTATTTAACCTGCCTGCTTCCAGTCATCAGTCCAGATTATTTAAGCCTTTAGTGAGAGTCCTCTAACGTACCCGATTGTGTTCTGATTGCCTGATCCTGACCTATTCACTGCATGAAAAGTGAGATTTTCGTCCCCGTAAACCCCCGTAAACTCCCGCAGATCTGCCTGATTTTCGTCAGTTTCCGACAATTTGCAACCCGTGCTTGTCCGCGTTTGTCGTGCCACAAATTGTCGGAAACGGACAGTGACGTAGGTGGAGAGCGATCAGCTGTACTAATGGCCCTAATTAGCATATGAATGCAGCAAACCCGCGCGGCTGGCCAGGTCTGGCTTGAATAACCTTCTCAGTATTGGCTGAAACCACTATTCTCAAACAAATGAAATCGCTCGTGATTGGCAGCAAAACCACACGTGGCCACGCCAGGCTTTAATTTTCTTACTGAGTATTGGACGGAACCACTTCTTTTTAAACAAGTGAAGTCGCTCGTGATTGGTTGGCATATATATATATTTACATATATATATTTATTCATATATATATATTTATTCATTCATATATATATATTTATTCATTCATATATTTATTCATTCATATGCTGTGTATTTATGTTATCCTACACTACTACACAATTATTATGCTACCATCAAGGACATGAATGAATTTATACAGGAAATGAACATTTGCCAGGAAGCTGTTTATGCAAAGAAAGAGCTTTATTAAAACACACACAACTATATACAACGGGTATCCAAACACATGCGTATCTAAAAATTACAAGTCAGTGAACGGTCCGTTTGCTTCCTCGGGGTTGGAGGTAACTGGCAGCATTCCCTCCGAGGCAGGTCCGATGTGCAGACGCATACTGTGCGTGGCCTTGTACTTCGACATCGCTTCTAACCGGGACTGCAGCTTAACACAGAGTTCAGTGAGATCCGGCCTACGAAATGGCGGCGACCGTACAATCAATCCAGAGACACCGCCGACGACGCCATCTTCTTCGTCGGACATGAGGTCGACGGTGGCGGACTTACAGAGTTCCACTTCCTCATCTGCCAGCACACTCTGCCTCGCCTTCAGCAGCTGAAAAAAAAAAAAAACACGAATCAGCGCACTGCATATGGACACAACACATCTATCAATGCACCTGAAAAATAGTCACCAAATAAAGTCTTACCCTCTTTCGTCTGGCCCGACTCCGAGCAGATAGCCTGGCGGCCTCCGCACGCAGCGTGCTGGCTAGCAACGTGTATCTGAAGCTCCTGCATACCGTCTCATAATACGTCTTACAGGCAGCTGGAAAACAATTAAATGAGAGTGGTATGAATAAAAAAAATCAAACGCAAGTCACAGTAACAAGGAAGGAGAAAACATTAAAACAAGTCACTTACACACAATGTCGTCTTTATCAACATCGTGCAAATCCAAACAAATAGGAGGTCACCGCCTCATTGTGAGGCGACTGTAGTCTGTGAAAAAAAAAAAAAAAGTACAGCTATGGTCGGTATCCATCCGTATCCATGTCCTTTTACCGCAGAATGAAAGCATATTCTTTAAACCTTACCCCTGCCGGTTCATAGCGCCTGCAATTAGTCTCCGAGTTGTTAAGACGGCATAATGCTTCCTGTGAATCACAAAAAATACACTTTAGTAAAGCTTTAGGCTAGGCTGCTTTTAGCTTACCTAGCTAGGCTAGGTTGTCTTTAGCTTGCCTAGCTAAGCTAGGCTGCTTTTAGCATAGCTACCAGTAATCGAACATATTTACCGCTAGCGTGGCGTTGTGCACCCGTCTTCTCTTCCTCGAGTTCGTATATATCCCGCAAAGTTGCTCGACTGCAGATAGGGTGGCCAGATGTCCGGCTTTAGGGCGGACAGTCCGGATTTTCATTGCACTGTCCGGCGTCCGGCGCTGCACCCAGCCGGACGTGTATTTGTCCTCCTTTACCCCCAGATTCCACATACTCCGTCAGCGCTCCGCCCCGCTCACGTACGGAGTACTTGTCTGTCTTCTTCTTCTTCTTGTCGAGTTTTATGGCGGTTGGCAACAAACTGTTAGTAGCATTACCGCCACTTACTGGTATGGAGTGTGGTTCGTGATGGTTTAAATATTGATCCTGATACATTCTACCCTAACTTCTTCTAAACATACATTCAAACATTCACACTTAAAAATATAAACATATTTGTGCACAGCTTTGTATATCATTCCTTCACTCACAAACACACTTACTATAATTAAATTCTATGGAATAATTTCGTTTTCTTTAGAAATCGAAAAATTATTTGTATGTGTTTACTCCCTAAATTTTTCCTCAGTATATCTAATAAATTAACCTTCTCCTTAATGTCTTCAAACTCTCTTCTCATATATCTTCTCTCTTTTTCATATTTATGACATTCTAATATAACATGTTCTATGGTTTCATATTTATCACAGAAATCACATTTGCCCGTTTTATGTTTTTGTATTTTAAAAAGTGTATGATTAAGTCCTGTATGACCAAATCTTAACCTTGTTATCACTCTTTCATCCTTTCTATTTCTTCTTCCATTTCTTCTTTCTCCTACCATCTTCTGAATTTTATAAAACCATCTTCCTGTTTTATCTTCATCCCACCTTTTTTGCCAAATTTCCATAAGTTTCTCTTTAATAATACTCTTTCCTTCTGATTTACTTATTTTAACTATAAAACTAATAGAATGTTTAATTGCCCTTTTTGCCATTTTATCTGCCCTCTCGTTTCCTTCCACCCCAATATGTGCTGGAACCCACACAAATGTAACTATCAGCCCCATGTTTCGTATTCTGAACAGTGTATGATTTATTTCTAATAAAATGTCCATCCTACTATCTGTATTACTTGTCTGTCATGTAAATCAATGAGAGCTGTTCCACATCCTCCGCTCGTCACCGCCCACGTACGTCTTCTCCGTCCTTCACCGTCAAAATACGGAGCTGAGCTATTTTTTGCTCCCCTCCGGTCCGTCCAGATCAAGACCCGCTATTGCAATCGCACCAAACAGAAAAAAGAATGTAGAGAAGACCCGGTTTGTCAAATTAAATTATAGTAAAAACAGATCGGTATCTAGAAATTAGAGCATAGTTTGTATATATTCCCAAAAACTAAAACAATAAATTTAGATTTTATTTCCTGGCAAAACATTCAATTCGGTTTATCCATTAAAGAAAAAAAAATTTGGAATTTTTAATCAATATTCTAATAATTGTAACAAAGTATTATATCCATAAATGTCGCTATGCAAAATGCTCCCTCTCAATCTCTGCTCTCAAAAATGAACTTTCCCTTTTCAAAAGATGTCTGAGAAAGATGCAGAATTTAAATGCAATTAAATTGTTTGAGTTCATTGAAGAATTTCAGTTGGTAGTCCTCACTGATTAATTTACTTTAACTACTATTATTATTTTATTTATTTTTATTTATTTTATTTTATTTTATACTTTGTTCCAGCCTGTGCATTTAATTTTATTTTTCAAAAGCAGGAGTTGTGATATTTCTTCTTGTATTGAAATATTTGTTATTAACTTGTTATTTGAGATTGTTATTGTTTTCTTATATATTCAATAACAAAAAAAAAAAAAGTGGAAATCTAAAAAAAAAAATTAACCATTACAGCCAACTGATTCTGATTAAAACTAATTTTTGAAGTAAATTATTTTGTGTATTTTTTTTACATAACATTTGCATACACAGTAATCTAGCGTACTTTAATTAAATAAATCAATTCAAGCTAAAATGTAAGAGTCTATAATTAGGCTATACTGAGCCTGATCTATTTCTACCATCTATTTGGGGGATATTTATTGCCACACTTTGGGCCACTTAAAACCAATTTAGCATGCTGACCTATGTCCTTATGACCACAGTGTACCAATCTTCTGATGGCTACTTCCAACAGGATAATGCGCCATGTTATAAAGTGAATCATCTCAGAATCATTTCTTGAAACTTTTCCACTTAAGTAATTGTGAATTGAGCATATTGACAGACAACATTTTATTTTTTATCTTAAATGCAAATTTAAAAAAAAATAATTACTGCTCTAAATGTATTGCTCTGTCAGCTAAAGATCTGTTTTGGTCTCTATACTTTAATTAAATAAATCAATTCAAGCTAAAATGTAAGAGGCTATACCTGATCTCTTTGTATCAGAGATTTTCTTACCCAGGGTTGCAGGGGGGAGTAAACCCCCCCCTGCAACCCTGGTTTGCATTTGTATAGCTCACAGCATGTTCATTTACATGTTAAAGCCTCCCCTAGAATTCCATGGGGGGGAGGCATGGGGGGAACACTGCCTAAGAAATTCCACGTCAATTTCTGACAATTTACGGGAGTTTTCGTCGAAGCCTGCAAATTGCCGTATACTGCCGCTAACCTGAAGTTCCACGACAATCTACAGTGCCGTATATTGACGAAAATCCCACTTTTCATGCAGTGATTCTTCCTTTGGATCCCTGAGCCTGCCTGTTCCTGATCTGATCTGTTTTCTTGACCTGTCTTCGGACTCTTGCTGGATTCTGCCTGTTGACCAACCCTGGAACTGCTTCCTGATACCGACCTGGGTTTCCCTTTGGTACCTCTTCGGATCTTTGATCTTCTGGCCCGGACTCCTGTGAAGCTCTTTGACATCGGCTCTGGTTTCATCCTCTGGATTGTCCTACCTTCCTTTGTCTGCTTGAAACTGATCTCCTGTCAGGTTAGTGACTTACACAATCATGATTAACCTCCGTCCGATTAACATGGTCATGTGTTTTCCTCCTGCAGAGGTTCCTGCCTTAGACACCCTAGCTGCCTCCATCAATATAAATAAATAAGTATTTTTTGAGTAATCTTATTGTCTGTCTTGCCCTGAGTACTGGGTCCTCTGTTCCGAGCTTTGACAATTAAAGCTCTGGGAACTGGGTGCGTGCAGGTGGCGCAGTGGTTAGTGCGCACAACCTATGTATGCAGGCGTTAGTCTTCGATGCGGCCAACCTGTGGTCCTTTGCCACATGTCTCATACCCTCTCTCATACCCTCATTTCCTGTCAAACTAGTGTCCAAAAAACAAGCCACTAGTGCCGTAAAAAAAGCACTGTGAATAGCACACCATTCATGTTCTTCTTGTTACTAAAAGAAAGAAAAAGAAATACTCTTCTTTCTCCTAAACACCATCACCACTGTGTTACACGGCAGATGTGGTGTAATGATGTAAGGACGCTTTTTTTCTATGGAGCATTTTAAAAATGCTTCTGATTCATAAACTTTTTTAGTAAAGTTACCTCTTGTAATTATTATTAACTATAATACATAAGATGTGTTGCGAGGGTCAGTGGTCCAAGACCTAAAACCTTGACAGCCGCATTGAGGTCTAAGGCCTCCAAGCATGAGTCCACTTAACGTGTGCATTACCTTGTCTGTACATTAAATGAGTGCACTTATTTTATGCTGTTTGTTGAAGCGATGTTTATAATGTTTGGATTTAACAGTCTCTCTTTTACTTTTAGTAGTATTCTTTAAAGCGGCTATCACCTGCATTTCAATGAATTACACGGGTTGATGTAATGAAAGGTTTTCTTTAAGTCCCCTTTATATTTTCCAAAGACTCATTCATTAAATACCTTTGTTTTTATGCATTGAAATAGGGAGGAATCCCAGTGAGGAAGGCATGCATTCAATAATGTAACAGAAGATACGGGGCATTCTGTAGCAGAATCAATCACATGCAGTGTCCTTTACAATAATTTTACACCTGACAAATAACTGCATCAGTAAACCTGCTTTTTGAGATGCAGAGTTGTAGGGAGGACTTGGAGTTGAGGGAAGCCTCATGCAAATAATAGGGACATGCAAAACATGGAGGCTAATGTATTTCTTTGCTTACTCCTGAATGGAAAGTCAAAAAGCTGCATAGAAACTATAGAAAACCCTTTAAATGATATGAGAGTAATGCTGAAAAAAATAACTGTTTACTATATTTAATGGTTTTTTTGTGTGTGTGTGTTCTAGACTTAATTCTACTAATGCCATTCCTTCATTTTTTACATAAAACAACACACTTGCTCCTATATAAATGAAGAGAATGAAAGCTTTGAATAAGTACTGATACGGTATGTAGGTGGAGATTTGTCACAGCCGGGCAATGAGACCTGAAGTTACACAATAGAGTCATTATGTAATGCCATTATCCTAATTCCTGATCCAAAGGAGATACCTTAAGCTTTCGCTGCACAGGAATCCCTAGAAATCTAGTTACACTATAGAACCACACAAATCTAACTGAGGGCTTTTAAAAGCCAAATTCAGAACTATAAGCATGAAAGCCTCATGTTTCAAAAATTTACAATGTGCTCATGAAAATGTGACCTTTATAGGGCAGTGAAACGTAGCTTCACACACTTGGTGCTGTCTGCCGGGGAATTTAGCGAGCAGCAGATGGTCAGACGGAGCAGGATGGAGTGATGAACGCCTCTGATTGTATCTACAGTTTATTTTCTACAAGTGACAACCTGTCGTTGCAAAGCATGTGATTTAGCTGGTTTAGTCTTCAATAGGAAAGGAGAGGTTGCGGTGAGGGTGTTTTTGAGCTCCAGGCATCTTTCCATTAATTATCACCACAGCATCATGCTGCTGCAGAAAGAAAACCCTTCATCGTATGCTTTTATTATTAATTGAAGACAAATTACACTTAAGTAGATTTAATTATGCATTTATTAATTGTGCATATGTCAGTTTTTTTAGTGCTGTGCAGAAAAGCATTATAATGCCCTTCATTTCAACTGTTCTAATTAAAATCCCCCCCCCCCCCCCCCCCCCCCTGCTGACCACCCATTGGAATAATAATGGTAGCGCCCCTGGATGCAACATCTGCCTTTGAAGACAGACATACAAAATATATCTGAAGCATACATCCAAAGAATTTACTCTTCCCTTTTTTCTTTTCTTTTTTTTTTTTTATACACCAGCTTCCTTCCTTTGGTAAATTGTAGGCCAGGGGTGGCGGAAATACGTCAGTTATGTGGGTTCTCTGAAGCTCAAGTGCGTCTCTTAATTTCGGATGAAGGGAAAGAGAAGGGAGGGAGAGGAGATTTTAATCACTCCTGTCGCTTTAAGGACACATATCAAAGCCTTATTATGCGAAATGAAAATACCATGAGCCAGTGAGCCAACTGGGAAGCCAGAGGACGGACTGGAGTGGATTTATAGAGGAAACTCAACATAATCTGAGCTGGAAGAGACCGCTTCATCGCCTTGTGGAGTTGGATTTCACACTGGATGGTTTGCTTATTCGGACAGTTCGGGTGTTTTTTTTTTTGTTTTTTTTGGATGGGGGGGTGGGAGGATTATTGCGCAGAAGTATCTACAGCTCTCTGACTTGGGAAGCAAGAGGAGGAATATAATTTAGAAACTCAACGCATCGCCTGCGGAATTAAGGTGTTGTTTGGGATATTATCCCGATCTCCGTGCTTCTGACAGCTCTGGATCCTGGATCATGGGTTGGAGAGGTGGAAAAGAACAACGGCCAGCGACATGATTCCTCTGCGCTGTCTGCGGTACGCTGCGCGGTCAGCCTACAACATCGCTGGCTGATTAAACAAAAAGTTACGAGGCGGCTTCGATGCGCGGATTTTTCTCTCCCTTCTCCACAGTTTGCACCTGCTTGAACGGACACCGCGTCGACACGGTGCGGATTCATGACGGGGGTGGGGGGGGTGGAAGCGTGCGGATCCGCGCCTCGCTCCTCGCCGCCTGTGTGGGATACTTGAACATTTGCCTGCCGTAGTGGGGAGAAAGAAAAAAAAATCGGGGAGGTTTGTACTCAAGGTCACTGAGTGTTTTCCGGCGTTATTCGCATTCTCATCCACGCTGACGCACGCGGACGCCCGCAAATAGAAACACAAGGGCGCACGAGCGCACGCGCGCGCCGCGCTTTTCCACACGTTCTAGCGCAGCTTCTAATTCTCAGTCTGGTGTCTGTTATTTGTTATTATACGGTCTGTGGGCGTGCACGTCCTGTGGAGTTTTTTTTTTCTCTTTCTTTTGACGCTGCATGGAAGCTCTTTCCAATAACATGGATGGGAAAGTGAAGCAGGGTCGGAGATGCCGGGCAAAGCGGGACCGGGTGCGGAGGTTGCGGGAACCGGGGAGCAAAGACGCCCGCAGCCCCGAGCCCAACTCCTCCTGTTCTGACAGGGAGGGACAGAGTCCCGGGAGAGACGCCGCCTCCCCAGCCTGTAAAAAGGCGCCTCTCCCCGCGGCCGCAGCCAGAGCCCCGCGCCCCCCTCGCAGGAAGAGACGGGAGTCCAGCTCGCAGGAGGAGGATATCATTGATGGATTTGCTATTACCAGCTTCATCAGCCTGGAACGTCTGGAGGTAAGAAGGAGTTGGCTTCTTCTGCTGCTTCTTTGCTCAGATTGGAGGTCAATAAGGCCACCAAAGGTCTGCTTTAATCTGTCACTTATTTCTTAGAAATGATGCAAAGGCTGGATCACCTAATCCTTTGATGATCATTGCTCAGGGCTGCTGATATCTGTTTGTTTGCAGGTCTGAGTTGTTATAAAGATGTTTGGGAGCTCCTGGAGTCTCTCTGGGTTATTAAATCTGAGAAAGTTTTATGTCTCAGCTGTTAATTATTGAGAGAAGACAAACAGGCGTAATGTCCTGTCACTTTTGACTGGCTGATGTGTTGTTTTATAATCTTATTCACTCTATCTCTGTGTTCTCTTGACATTTTGCCCTTTGATAAACTGTCTACTGTGGGATCTAATCTGTTACTGGCTGATAAATCATGTGTTGATTTGCCTCTTCCTATTATTACTCTCTGGTATGCTGGATGTCAGAGAGGAGCTTTCCCTCCAGACAAGCTTTTCTGTCTATAGATTTGTTGTTTTTGTTATCAGTGCCATATTACATTGCTTCTTGTGGTACAATTAGCCCAACTGTACTTCTGGGAATGCTACTTAAGATACAAGCTATTACCTTTTTTTCCCACCCCAAAATAAAGCAAAAACTACACAATTCTGTTGTCATATCCAATTGAGTGATGGTAATAACAGGTCATAACTACTTTTCCACCGATACCAGTATCAGGCAGAGCCCCGATCCAGCACTAAAATGTTGGTATCAATATCGGCGAGTAGGCTACTTACAAAAAGTTCTACTGGATTCACTTTGTATTAGTCTTTTATTTTCTGCTTTATTTCCTGATGGCAATTATTTAACATCTAAGTAGTATGCAGTTCTTCATATATGCACACACACATCAATTACTGCACAGAAAGGTATCTGTTATCGGGGTCAAAAAATAGCATCGGCGCAACACTAGTTATAACTCGACTCCTGCTTCCTACATTCTGATTAGTCAGATTTGCTCAACCAGTAGTCCACTCCAGCTGGAAGCTTCACTCAGTCGGTGGTGATAACCAGTTTTCCTAATCCCACCTGTTTAATCCATCAGCTATGGATTATTGTGTTTTAGTTTGTGCTTTTCAAGAGCAGAAAAACGCAGACACATGACAACCTTGACCATTAGGGCAATAGGTTGCGGTTAACTTTAATGTGGAAATAGGTGCTGAGTGGAAAAGAACAAAAGTTAAAAAGTCGGGGGCATGGTTTGGCAAGAGTTTGCCGATACAATGCATTTCACTATGAGATTTATCTGCATACATTAACAAAGAAGATACTATATTGTGATTTTTCTAAAAAAATATATATCTGTGGAAAACCTGAACTTGCTGGGCAAATGAATGGTAGCCTCTTATGGGATGTGCTGCCAACTAGTGGCTGGAAGTTGAATCGTTTTATAAAAGTAAGACATTAGAATAGATGTTTGAAAATAAATGTTTTGGTGCATATTTCTGTTTAAGTCTCCAGTGAAGCATGTGGGATTCCAAAATGTCAGAGCTCGTGGCAGTATCTCAGAGTCGAGTCTTTTTTTTAGGATTCTGGCACGGTCTTGGTTCTGTTAAATTTTCTTTTGAGTTTTCAGTTTCACATTGATTCAAGTGTTTCTTTGTTTTCTAGTTTTATTGGTTTGATTCCTATTTTGTTGTGGTTTCTAGATATATTTGAGCTCTCAAGTTTTTCTTGGTTGCCCTCTGTTGCCCTATTGTGTTGGTCTCCTTTTTCCTAGCTCCCTTCTAGAATCCTCTGTTCACACCTGCTCCCAATCAGCTCTTTAGTCCTGTCTTTGTTCCGTCTCCCATATAAAGTCTCCCTGTGCAGTTCCTCAGTGCTGGTTCCTCATCTTTCCCTGGCTCCTCATGCATGTTTTCCCTGATATCTCTACGGTTCTGGTTTGTTCTGTATTTCTATGTTGGATTTTATTGGATTTCTCCCTCTGTTGTCTGAGAGAACTCCATTAAAACTTCTAGAACTCACCTCTGCCTCCTCGCCTCTGAATTTGGGTCCTCAAAACCTCAACCAAACCCTGACAGATACAGCCACTCCAGTGCAAATACAGTGGGTGCCTTTTTAGTAATTTTAACTAAAACAATCACTGAGCGGCAAATTCCCCACTGTGAGAAAGTAAAGAGATTTTCAATTCTAAACTGTAAACGCTCATCATTTAGTCATTCTTTCAGATTATTAGTAACATCCTGTATCACAGTGACTGCTCTCTCACTCACTCTAACTATGCTTCTGTTGCTGTTACAAATAATTAATGATCACTCTCATCAGGAAACCTAGAAAAGGAAAACATTTAATGCTTTCATTTCTGCTCCCTGTGTTATTATTGTACCTTTATGTTTGATCAATTTAGTGTTTCAGTTAAAGCAAGTTTACAGCAATGCGTTTGTTTGTGTTCTAACCTCAAAAAAAGAAATCACAATGACTTATCATGATTGCTTTGTCTCTGTTTGAAGGAGCTTTCTTGTTACAGACTGTGTAACTACTGAAAGTCTTGGTGTTTATGCCTATTTTTTGAAGAAACTTTCTACACATACCCCCAAAATAATTGTTTATATGTCTTGTTGATATGCCTGAACTTAGTTTTATATATTCGAGCGTCTCTGTCTCTTAAGCTTTATGGACGCCACTTCTGGGAAGGAAAGACTTTAGACTCAGAGGCAGAAAAGTGTCTCAGATGGGCTTGTCTGTCAAAATGCGGGTGAAATTCATGCTCTGTTGGTAATCTTCTTACGTCTGCTCTCATGCAGTTGTCATTTTAGTTCAGGAGGTTTCACACCAGTTTTGTACATTGCTCCAGTAGTGATGGTGTCTCAGGATCCTTTTCTTCTGAGGGCTTATCTTCATAAAAATAATAAAAAAGAAAAAAAAAAAGAAAAAAACGGCTTGTTTCTGCTGGCGGGGGAGGTGAGAGCTAGATAATTATCTAGTTTCTGTTTTACACATTTACCAGCAATAATGGTTTTCTCAGTCAAATGCTAAATCAGTGTTGAGTGAACACAGAGAGTAACAGTGCGCTGTACTGTGTACATAGAAGCTTATGTTTCAAGGCTAAGCAAATGAGGCATGATATGGCTCTATGTGAAATGATACTTGCATGCCAGCTCCTTGCTGGTAATTGGTCTGATTTGCATGCAAATGGGGAGCGCTTATTAAAGGGTGCTGCTGGATCTGGTAAAGTTAAAATAAGCTTTTTAGCGCCCTTTGATTTGTGTGCATGTGGGGAGATGAAGTGAGTACGTTCCCTTCATGCCGCTTTCATCTCCTGTTTACTGAAAGTGACAAAAGTATCATTTGTTTGCATTTTAACCCCACTCTGCCAGGAATGAAACACCCTCTTAAAAAACGCGTGCCCTCTGAAGGCATCGCATGATCGACCGTGACTCATGCTTTCACCTGCTCGCTGTATGCCTGAGTGGAACTCATGACCTACGCTACCTGTGCTAATTACTCATCAATTATGAGGAGGACACGGCAGCTGGGGAGTAGCTCTGACCTATTGCGTCATGCTCCAGTAAGGCAGCGTGGCCTCAGTTTAGCCGCTCTGTGCTGCTCTTAACCTCTTTGACATGACTGATGAGTAGGGGTGGGTATTGGCTAAGAAGTCACAATTCGATTCGAATCACGATTCACATGCCACGATGCGATTCTATCACGATGCATCATGATACTTGAAATATTGCGATGCATTGCGATATTTTCACTGAACACTGTAGGAAAAGGATACAGCCATTACCAGTGGCTGACAGGCTGGGTATGATCTGGATAGTGTCTTCAATTGATACATAACTGAAAGCAACTGAATTCATACATAGCTGTATTTATTGAAACGACTTTTGGAGGTGTTGCCATGAAAACAAATACTGGACACAAATGTAACTATTTGTGTTACATTTGTAACACAAATAGTTACAAATGTAACTATTTACATTTGTAAATAGTGTCTTTTTGACACACTGACAAAAAGATCTTAGGATTCATCAAACTTAAAATAACAAAATAAAGATAATCAGTGCTGTTTACATGGCCTCAGTGGTCCTTTAAACCAATGAAGCGAAAACATTCAAATGTATATTTCCCCTTTTGCAAATTACGTGCATCGTATCAATTTCATTTTTACCTTCTTTGTTTTTAAAGTCAAAATGCATCCAAGCATCTGACTTGAAATGTGATGGAACCAGGGGGGCGAATTTTCATAGTGTCCTCCAGGTTTTATTTCATATGACTCATCTCAGTATCCCACGGCCGGACATGCTTGTGACACAAGGCAGCAGGCGTCAAACACATCCGCAGCGACATCTGCTGGACTGGAAGTTGTGTTCCACTTGATTTGGCTGATGTGCGCCAACCAATCATGTATTTTATTTGTTCTTTTTTTTTTATTAAGAATCGATTCTTGCCATTAAGAATCGATGCAGTAGATCACAAGAATTAGAATCGCGATGCATCGTCATGACGATTATCTTGCACACCCCTACTGATGAGCGGTGCTTTTATGTTCAAATCCATCCAGCATCTTTAAAATGTAATGTAACTTACCTGGATATGTTTCCTGTTCATGCAGTCTTTCCCTATTTTTATTCATTTTTTTTTTATTTACCTGGAACTTTTCTCTTGGACAATGTAAAGATCCAACACAGCAAAATCTAATGCGTAAGATTTTCAGTGTAGGTGTAACATGTTGTAAGTTCCATTCGTTCAACACTTGTCTAATTCAGCTGTGCAAGATTTAGTTCCACCAATGAGTTTTTGTTATTCCATGGAGTTAAATCCAATTAACTCTGCTAATTGAATTAACAGAATTTCTCCCTAGATTACCAGCCTTTCTGCAAACTCTTTATTTCTAAAACACATATGTTGATGATGTCATTGGACTCGGAAGTGTGGCGCAGGATGTAGAAGTTTTTCCTGCAACTGGAGGTTCAGATCCCAGCTCAGTCGTTGTGTCCTTGGGCTAGACACCG